GGCATATAGCACTGTTCTTTCTCGCCTTCAAAAAAACTTCAGCCGAGTCTGTCCATCAACTCTACCAGGGACTTTTTCATACACTAGACGTCGTTTTTTGAATTGTGGTAGTGGTGAGTACATGAAACCTGTTAAAAGGAGAAATACAAAAACCATTTTATTGCTTATAACAGTAAAGTATAGCTATTTTTTTCCAGTTATTCAAGTGGATGCTGTCTCCTCATCATCTATCAACAAAGTGTCAAAATTTCCAAACTGTGATAAAATAATAACTATTAAAAATTATGTTTTAAACATAAATGGACCTGTCTCTAATGGCCCAGTATTAACAAGTGGATGCTGTCTCCTCATCATCTATCAACAAAGTGTCAAAATTTCCAAACTGCGATAAAATAATAACTATTAAAAATTATGTTTTAAACATAAATGGACCTGTCTCTAATGGCCCAGTATTAACAATTAGTGTTAAATACACGTATTTCTATGCTCACGCCTTGTACAAATAGTTAAATCTCCTGGATTTCAATTTTCTTTTCAGTGAAATGAGAAATTATACTATATGATCTTTAAGGTCTCTTCTATTATAGTTCTAATATTTTTAAGTAAAAAATCCAAATGGTTTGGGAAGCAACTCAGGCAGGACTTCCTAATTCCTGAAGGTTTCCAATAAGTCCTCATTGACTAGGATACAAATTAAAGGCTCACCTTTACTGACTTTGAACCTCAACTAAGATATACTGTTTGATCTCTGTGTACCTTCTGTGTATCTATCTTTACGGTGACAGTGTATACAATTCTTTCAGGTTTTCTTTTTCTTCTTTTTCTTTTAAGTTTTCCCTTCCTATTCCTGACTGCAGCTTTTTTTCCTTCAATTTGGCTATTCTTCTCATGAACATATGGACATATTTCTTTTTAGGGAGGGGCTACATGTTTAGGAATCTATCTTTAAATTCATGTCTTTAAAATCATATCTGGAAAATAAATCTTTAACTCCAATTAAGGAGTTAAAGAATCCTTAAATAAATAATTTGATGAAACACAGGGAATGTAAATGATGATAGGACACTGGTTGCTCACTGTGAAGTTGTGGGAGAGTCTGGCTGGCTTATACAATTTGGGAGGCCCTTTTTTAGTAAAACAAAGAATACAAGATTCTCTGGGCCCCTCTCAGTCCTCAAAAAAGGGCCTATGCAAAAGAGAAGCTTTGAAGCTTAAGCTTCTCCCCTGTCCCCCATCCCTTTTTTTCCCTTCCTGGTAAGTCTACCTTTGTATAGTCATTAGAATTTAATATTTTGTTCTAGATGCTTGGGCCAATACAATAAGAAATGACACCGAAAGAAAGGTAGAATTACTAGAAATTAGAAAATAAAACTGTTCTTTTATTTTTATTTATTTGTGTATTTATTTATTTGAGACAGAGTCTCTCTCTTTGCCGGGGCTAGAGTGCAGTGGTTCAATCATACCTCACTGTAACCTCAAACTCCTGGCTTCAAGTAATCCACCTGGCTCAGCCTCCTGAGTAGCTTGGACCAGAGGCATGTGCCACTATGCCTGGCTAATTTTTCTATTTTTTGTAGAGATGGGATCTTGTTATGTTGCCCCGGCTGCTCTTCAACTCCTGGCCTCAAGCAATCCTCCTGCCCCAGCCTCACAAAGTGCTAGGATTACAGGCCTGAGCCACTGTGTCCAGCCAAAATTGTTCTTTTAAAAATTTGGTATTATATGTTCAAACAACTTAAAAACATATATCACAATGGAGTTAACAGTAGTACCTATTTGAGAGAATTGTTAGAATTAAACAAGCCACATAAAGGGCTTAGAATGGTGATTGGCACCATTGCTCTTAATGAATGTTATCCAATTAAATATACCTGTTCCACAAGAGGTTAATTTTCTGATTCATGGATTCCTCTGTTTAATCTTTGTTGATTTTAGTCTTCTCTTTCACTAAGATTTGTTCTGTTTTTATTTTTAGCTTAAGTTGAATGCTTAGTTCATTTAAAGCTATAGGAATTTGACATATTATATTTTCTTTGCATTTATTTTAGGGTTTTGATTTTCTCCTTGACCCAAAAGTTATTGGAAGATTTTTAAGTATAGTAATTAAAGCAAAAAAATTTTTAAAATTTGGAGATGGTTCTTATCTTTTTAAATTAAATTCGAGAGTAGTTGTATCAACTATTGAATAGTGTTACCTGTTAATGATTCCTTGTCTCTTGGGTTAGATGAAGATTCAGGGTGCCTTTTCCGTTCTAACCACTTTCCAGTTCCTTGGTGGTGATAAAGTCTGTTGAATTCTCTTTGATTTACATTAGACTCAGAAGGACAAAATAAATCCAAACTGGGGACAGATGGTAATCCTCTCCAAAAAGTCTTTTTAGTTTCAACATTTGAACTTTCACGTGTGACGTCTGCTAACTCATCCAACAGACATTGTTGCTGATTAGTGAATAAATTATCTTCCTGAGAGTACCACTTGTCACATGTAGTCTGCTCTGTAACATATTGTAAGTTGGATGAGTGATCCTCTTGTTCCCATACATTTTTTTTAAAGTTCCAATGAAGAGGAGATTGAGAGCCTTCTAGTGAAAAGATAGGGGCAGATACTTCTTTATTTATGAATCCTTTTGCTTCATGTGTTCCTTTTCTCCGATAATTTATAAAATTAGGGACAACTGTCTTCAGAGTGTCAGTTGGTGATATAGTTTCACAGTTCATTTGTCTTAGGCCCAAAGAAAAGACATCTGACTCTGAATCATTCTGGTTTACAAAGGAGTTACAAGCTGCTTTCCTTGATTCTATATTAACTAGAAAAGGATTATTATTCTCCACTATATTAGGGTTACAACTGGAGTCTTTCCAGTAGCTAGGCTGATTGTATGAAGTTACAGATGGTAAAGTGCGTGGCACTTTTTTTAGTTCCATAAGGGCAGAGTTATAATTTGAAGTGTTGTTTATGTCTTCCTGTACTGTCTCTCCTAATTCTGAATATTGGTAAAATTCATTATGTTCTTGAATGATAGAGTCGGAAGAGCCAGAAGCTGAACTCTGAGAAGTGAAGGTATCAGTCTGATTCCCATTTTCCCGAGGTGATGAAATTTCAGGTGATTTTGTTGTGGAAGAAGAATTAATCTTGAATAAGGAAGTGATGCTATAAAAATGCTAAAAAATTAGAAAATTAATCAATATAATATAATACAAACATCAGTTTAGTAATAGAAATAATGGTGCTTATCTACATAGAAAGAAGGAAAATATAAATAAGTAGTCTATTCATAAATATTACAGTGATTCAGGTATTAAGAACATAAAATAATTAGGTTCTATTAAAAG